AGCAGGAGACAGATGCCTTCCTCTTATATCAACTGCAAAACGGCCTCCTCTTCCACTAATCCTCCTCAGCACAGACCCTTTACGGGGGTCGGGCTGGGGGACGGTCAGGTCTTTCCCTTCCCACGAGGCCATATCTCAGGCTGCCTCAGTGGGGAGAAACCTTGGACAACACCCAGGCTTTCTTGGGCAGGTCCTGAGGTCCCTGAGGCTTTCTGCAATGCAGTGTGTCCCTGGGTACTCGAGATTGGAGAATGGCGAGGACTTTTACCAAGCATACTGCCTGCAAACACATTTTCACTAAGGCACATCCTGCACAGCCCTAAATCCATTCAACCTTGAGTCAATACAGCACATGCTTCTGTGAGCGCAGGGCTGGGGCTGGGGTTACAGATTAACAGCATCTCAAGGCAGAAAAATTTTTCTTAGTACAGATCAAAATGGACTTTCTTATGTCCATGTCTTTCTACATAGACACAGTAATTGTCTGATCTCTCTTTCTTTCCCCCACACAGAGAGTGTCACCACTGTATGTCAGCCTCTGGGGGACAGGCTTCAGCTTACACCCACCTTCCAAATTCCACCCTCTCACCTTGGCAGAAGCTGGCCTGGAATTGGAGCCAATGGATGGGTGGGGTCTGCAGACGACACTGTGTTCAGGTCCCCATGACGGCCTCACACAGGGGTGGTGGCCCTGCAGTTCCAGGTGCCACACACACGCCAGCCCCTGCTCGGGCCCTGATCTTTGAGGGGGAGGGAGCAGCAGAACCCGGGCACTGACCCCACAGTGCCACTCACACCCACAGACGATTCTCCACACAGGCATCAGGTCTCGGTCCTGGCCACCTCCCCCTGCAGGGCCTCAGCTCTTTCGCGGGACTCACGTGGTCCTTCCTCACATGCAGCTCTGGTAGGATGCATTGCTCTGTACCCAGGGGCTCTGAGGTGACAATGGCCACGCTCGTGCAGAGTGCAAGGGCACAGGCTGGGTGTCCATTGTGGGGACCCTGACTGCAGCACTCTCAGACTATCATCGGGCATGCTGGCCCCCAGGCTTAGCTAGGGCACCAGCGGTAGGAGTGCACGGCTCTGGACTCTGCAGGAGGAGGACAACTGTCACCACATCTTTATGTTCTCCTGCTGGTGTCACTCTGTGCTTCTCATCTCCTGGTTGTAGGATTCAGGGCAGACTCTCTGAACACCTTGTGGGAAACAGCAGAGTCCAGCAGAGAAGAGGAGAAATGCCCAGCTGCAAAGATGAAAAAATGGCAGGTGTGACATGGGCCCCCATTCAGATTCTGTATTTAAATGAGGTCTTTTGGAACACCTGCTCTCATTGGATAATACTTCAAATATATATATATATGTGTGTATATATACATATATTTATATATATGTAAATATATGTGTGTGTGTGTGTGTGTATATATATATATATTTTTTTTTTTTTTTTTTTTTTTTTGAGAGAGAGAGAGTCTCGCTCTGTAGCCCACGCTGGAGTGCAGTGGCATGATCTCGGCTCACCGCAACCTCTGCGTCCCGGGTCCCGGTTCAAGCAATTCTCCTGCCTCAGCCTCCCGAATAGCTAAGATTACAGGCATGCACCACCTTGCCCAGCGAATATGTTTGTTTTTTTGTCTTGAGACGGAATCTTGCTCTGTCACCCATGCTGGAGTGCAGTGGCACGATCTCGACTCACTGCAATTTCCAACTCCTGGGTTCATGCTATTCTCCTGCCTCAGCCTCCCGAGTAGCTGGGACTACAGGCACCTGCCACCACGTCTGGCTAATGTTTTGTATTTTTAGTAGAGACAGGGTTTCACCGTGTTAGACAGGATGGTCTCGATCTCCTGACCTCGTGCGAGAGAGCGAGGTCACCTGGGTGAAAGAGCGAGACTAAGTCAAAAAAAAAAAAAAGAAAAAAGAAAAAGAAAAAGAACAATATAAGCCAAATTCACTCAAAAGAAATAAAAACAAGATGACAAGTCAATGGCACTGAAAACAGAAAATCAACAGAAGAACTCAATAGAACAATAGCCGTTTCTTCATAAAGATCAACAAAATTGGTCACTATCAAGCCAGGCTAACAAAGAAAAAAAGAAATCACACAAATTACTATAAGGTGAGTACAAAAGTAATGGCAGTTTTAGCATTCTTGGAATTTGCTGTTTGATAATGGAATACCTTCTTAAATAAGTGTGGTTATGTTATTCATCATTTTAATGGGCATTTCTTGCCTTTTTCTTTCTTTCTTTCTTTTTTTTTTTTTTTTGCTAATGACTTATTACTTATTTATTTTAGACTATGGAAATGATGTCAGACAAAAAGCCAATTCAAGCGACTTTCTTATTCGAGTTCAAAATGGGTCCGAAAGCAGGGGAGACAACTCACAACATCAACGCATTTGGCCCAGGAACTGCTAACTAATGTACAGCGCAGTAGTTCAAGAAGTTTTGCAAAGGAGACGAGAGCCTTGAAGATGAGGAGCATAGTGGGCAGCCACCGGAAGTTGATAACGACCAATTGAGAGCAACCACTGAATTCGATCCTCTTACAGCCACATGAGAAGTTGGCGAAGAACTGAATGTCGACCCTTCTATGGTCATCTGGCATTTGAAGCCAACTGGAAAGTTGAAAAAGCTTGATAAGTGGGTGCCTCATGAGCTGACCAAATAGTTTAAAATGCGTCCTTTTGAAGTGTCATCTTCTCTTATTCTATGAAACAACAATGAACCATTTCTTGATCAGATTGTGACATGCCACGAAAAGTGGATTCCATACAACAGCCAGCTCAGTGGTTGGACTGAGAAGAAGCTCCAAACCACTTCCCAAAGTCAAACTTGCACCAAAAAAAGGTCATGGTCACTGTGTGGTGGTCAGCTGCCGGTCTTCTGATCCGCTACAGTTTTTGAATCCTGGTGAAATCATTACATCTGAGAAGTATGCCAAGCCGTTCGATGAGACGCATGGAAAACTGCAGCACCTGGAGCCGGCACTGGTCAACAGGAAGGCCCAGTTCTCCACAACGCCTGACCACACGTCATACAACCAGGGCTTCAAAGTTGAATAAACTGGGCCATGAAGTTTTACCTCAGCTGCCATATTCATCTGCCCTCTCGCCAACCAACTACCATTTAAGCATCTTGACAACGTTTTGCAGGGAAAACACTTACACAACCAGCAGGATGCAGAAAACGCTTTCCAAGAGCTCATCGAACCCTGAAAGCACGGAATAAACAAGTTTATTTCTCCTTGGCAAAAATGTGTTCATTGTAATGGTTTTTTGGTTTTTTTTTTTAGACAGAATCTCACTCTGTCGCCCAGGCCAGAGTGCAAAGGTGCAATCTCGGCTCACTGCAACCTCTGCCTCCTGGGTTCAAGAGATTCTCCTGCCTCAGCCTCTTGAGTAGCTGGGATTACAGGCACATGCCACCATGCCTGGCTAATTTTTGTCTTTTTAGTAGAGACGGGATTTCACCATGTTGGTCAGGCTGGTCTCAAACTCCTGAACTCCTGATCCGCCCGCCTCAGCCTCCCAAAGTGCTGGGATTACAGGCGTGAGCCACTGCGACCAGCCCATTGTAATGGGTTCTATTTTGATTAATAAAGATGTGCTGCAGCCTAGTTATAAAAATTTAAAATTCATGGTCCAAAACCACAATTACTTTTGCACCAACCTAAAAATATAAGAATTAAGAGAGGCCTTTATATTAGAGAGCCCATGGATGAGAAAATAATAAAGAATATTACAATCTCCATAACCCACAAACTTGTAACTTAGACCAACTGGATGAATTAAAAGACACAATCTATTAATGCTAAAACACAGGAGAAATAGGTCATCTAAATATATTTATATCTATTAATAAAATGGAATCAATACCTAATAACCTTACAGAAAACTTATAGGTTCCAAAAATCTGCCATTCTGTCATGTTATTCTAACTGGTGGGATTCGGGGATTTCCATTTCGATAAGAACATAGGTGAGTTGCACACACTTAATTTTAGTGCTCATTGGTCAGGAAACATATGTCCACTATAGGATACTGCAGAGCGATGCATTATGGAGAATTTAGGCAAGATAATATGATTTTCAGAGTTAAAGGAAGACAACCTGTTTTATGTACAGTAATTCCTCATAATATTATAGGGGATACCATATTTAAACTTCGGGATATCCCCAGGTATAATTCTTATTTGAGCCACATGTGAACTTCAGACACGGAGGCTGCCCAACTTAGGTGGCTTTCAACAAACGTGGAAGTTAATTCGCAACCTATTTTGTGGAGGCATAAAATTCAATGAGCACTCACTTAACCTTTTATTTTAAATATTATTTTTGTAAACTTTGCATTTCCAATTAGGTGAAATTTTAAACCTGTTTCAGTTCTTATCCACTTTTTTTTTTTTTTTCCTGAGACAGAGTTTTGCCCTGTCACCCAGGCTGGAGTGCAGTGGCATGGTCTCGACTCACTGCAACCTCCACCTCCCAGGTTCAAGCGATTCTCCTGCCTCAGCCTCCCAAGTAGTTGGGATTACAGGTGCCCGCCACCACGCCCGGCTAATTTTTGTATTTTTAGTAGAGATGTGGCTTCCCCATGTTGATCAGGCTGGTCTTGAATCCCTGACCTTGTGATCTGCCCACCTTGGTCTACCAAAGTGCTCAGATTACAGGCCTGAGCCACCGCGCCCAGCCTCTCCACTCTTTTTAAGTGGAGGGGAGTAAGGGTTGCTTTAAGTTAGGAGGGACTCCCATGTACCCAACCCATTTGTGTAAATTTCTTCCTTCAGAGTTCTTCAAATCAGCATCACAATTGTTAAAGGTCTCCCACATGGTAATAATTGTGCTACAAGGTTTTACAAACATGAAGTTTATGTTTGGCTGAATTAACCTCCTTGCTGTGGCACAAGGGGGCCATAGGTAGTTTCACCAATTATGAAGCGGGTTCACTGTGCAATGGGTGCCGTTGTTCCTGAGTACAATGAGACCAAACACATTCATACATAAATCCCATGAAGTGAATTTATTACTTACAAATAGCAAACAAAAGACAACAGAGGTCTAGGATTCAATATGAACCGCTACCACAAGATCAGGAAGGCTACCCAGAGCAGATGGATGGAGTTTTGACTGTAAATGCTTCACTTGCACTACAACTGAGGGACCCCAGAAAGCAGCCCACCTTGGGTTTTCTCCCAGGATGTGGTTTGCTGGACACAAGCGTTAAAGGCCATTGTTTCGAGCAGGGACTATAACAGAGCCTGGGCTGTTCTGACCAATGTCACCTGATTATCAGGATATTGCCTTCCCAGCATATCATACAGTTATCTTGAGAACTACCAGTAAGAAAGGGAGGAAAATGGCCCTACACCCTTAAAACTGAAGGATCAGGATATTTGTGGTGACAGAGGCACAGACAGTAGCGACAGAGTGTTCTTGTGAGCCATCTACTAGTTCTCTTGACCGGAGAGTGGCACCTGACTGCTTTTCTCTTCCCTTTCAATGGAAACTGTTTCAGAATGTTTTGAATATTTTGAGTTTCTACATCTATAGAGTTGTGGCACATGATCACTGGCAGTGTGGACTCTCTGCACGGTTAAAGTAAAGAGTTCAGGAGCCCATCAAGCCACATTGGAGGAGACCACCTAATCCTCCAAAGAGTGTCACTCCATCTTCCTGGGGTTAGCTCCACATGCAGTAAGGCCATTATGTCTAAGGCCGGCAAGACTTGCAGTCCGAAGATTCGACTTTTGACATGCTGATAAGCAGCAGTGATAAGAAAAGCCCACACACTGGCTAGGAATTTTTCAATGAAACCAGCTGAGATGCTTCTTCATATGCTTCGGTAGGGGCTAATAGCAAACTCTTTCTTCCCATTGTCTTTACTCATCAGTGCCTGAACCGTGAGGCACCATAGATGTACACCTCATCAGGAGGGTGTACGGGACAGAAGCAAGGGGAGCAGCAGCACAAGAAACAAACAAGGCCACTACTTCTGCCTACATAGTAACTATTGTCTTGGAGTGTACAATAACTAATAATGTTCACATGACTGCCCTAAGCATACAGAGATGGTGACCAGAGTAGGTGCAGGGACTACAGAGATACAGCCTGATTCTTGCTAATTAGGACATAAGTGTCGGCTTATGTGCTGTGCTTTTGTGCATTAATAAGCCAGGGCCTCAAAACTGCCCGCTAAGCACAGGCCAAATGTCATGCTGGGGTGCAATTAAACATTCATGTCTAGGAGATGACAGCATTTTAGTGTGGGAGAAGATGACAACAGCTGAAGACCACAAAACACTGTGCAGAACAAAGGGAAGGCCCATCGTCAGCTCACGGTTCTGACCCAGGTGACTGCTGATGTGTTCCGGAACTGTCAGCCGACATCAGGTAGGTCAAGTTGAGCAGGTGTCCTGTATGAGGGCTGGTCCATTCGTTTTGTGTTGCGTTGCCAATGGTTTCAATAGCGTCTCATGCACCCCACTGGTGAGGAAGGAATTAGCACCCTACGTTTACTGGCACTAACACATAACATCTATTACTAAACAGATAAGCCAGACATCAGTTATTAATTACATGTAGGAGGATGGTGTAAGCTCCCACAGGCCCAAACAGGGATTAACTTGGGAGCAGAGAGTGGTTTCGCATTAAAAAAGTGAGGATGTTCCTTTTTTTTTTTTTTTTTTTTGGAGACAGAATCTCGCTCTGTCACCCTTCCTGGAGTGCAGGGGTGTGATCTCGGCTCACTGCAAGCTCTGTCTCCTGACTTCACGCCATTCTCCTGCCTCAGCCTCCCTAGAAGCTGGGACTACAGGCGCCCACCATGCCCGGCTAATTTTTTGTATTTTTAGTAGAGACGGGGTTTCACCGTGTTAGCCAGGATGGTCTCGATCTCCTGACCTCGTGATCCGCCTGCCTTGGCCTCCCTAAGTGCTGGGATTACAGGCGTGAGACACCACGCCTGGCCAATGAATCTCCTTTGTTCCTACAGGAGTATATGATTGGTTTGTCTGTTGGCTGGTAGGGAACTGAATCATGTGACACTGACTGGTAAGACTGTAATACTGTAAAATACAATATATAAATTATAATACCATAATGGTGTAATACTATCTACTACAGTACCAAAGGCATCGATGAAAAGCCCAACACTATCATATGTGACTGACAGACTGCATGCTTCCTCCCTCAGATTGGTTACAACATATTGTCCTATCACAGTTCTCTCCTTCATTCAAAATGAACGATCCAAATAACAGACAAAAATAATAAAGAATAAAGGGCAAAAGATGCAAAGAACTCACGAGATGATACTCTATGGTAAAGTTTATGTACTTAGGAATTAATACCAACTCATTATTAGCAAAAAATAAACATCTTTACATCAAGAGTAGTTTTTCCTTTAAAAAAAAAAAGGTGGAATGTGTATAATGGACAAGGGATAATCAAAATTTGTCAAATGAGGCTAGTAAGACAATCCCAACAATTCACAATCATTATTCACTGGTCCATTAATCACAGGGCAATACATACAAATGAAACTTACCTGGCCGGGCGCGGTGGCTCATGCCTGTAATCTCAGCACTTTGGGAAGCCGAGGCAGGCAAATCATAAGGTCAGGAGTTCAAGACCAGCCTAGCCAATATGGCAAAACCCTGCTTCTACTAAAAATACAAAGAATTAGCTGGACGTAGTGGCAGGCGCCTGTAGTCCCAGCTACTCGGGAGGCTGAGGCAGGAGAATCGCTTAAACCTAGGAGGTGGAGGTTGCAGTGAGCCAAGATCACACCACCACACTCCAGTCTGGGCAACAGAGTGAGACTCCATCTCAAAAAAATAGTAATAATGAAATAAAAAAATTAAACTTACCTACATATTAGAAAAACATCAAAATTCAACCATGAATCCAGCACATTATCAGATGAATAGACAAAAATTCTACCAACAAACTTAAGAAAATACCATTATCTATGAAATTCAAGTACTACTGCTTAAAGAGCATTGACAGAACTCTCACCTCAAGGTTTCCCTGCAAAACAAGGTGAAATGCATTATTCTCAAGACTCTTTAAGAATGAGCCACTGATAAAAACAATATACTTGTAACTTGTGTAACATTTCATACATTTTTTTCAAGCACTGCACGATAATTAATTTGCGTCAGGCTTTCCAAATTAGAAAAGCTTCACTTATAGAACTTCTTTCCAGTGAGAGTTTTCACACCACTTTTCAAGTAAATGTGAAAACCAAAAATATTCTTGCAGTTTCTAAACTATTAGAGTTTTAATCCTGTGTATGTTCTTGTATTTACAAGGTCCAGCCAGCTACAGTCTGCATTTTCCTATGTCCTTGAGTGGGTATGAAAGAAAGGAAACATTCCCACATTCTGGACATTCAAAGGGTTTTTCTCAGGAATGAGCTGATGTCTCCAAATGGAACTAAGACACCTGAAGGCCTTACCACAAATTTAAACTCAAAAGGCTTTTCTCCACTCCGAGTCCTCCCAAATCTTCAAAAACAGGAAAATTTGAAGGCTTGACCACACTTCCTACATTCTTAAGGTTTCTCTGCAGTGTGAGCTCTTTCATGTTTATGAGGGAATGGGAAAGAGTAAATCTTTTACCACATTTCTTAGATTCAAGGGGCTTTATTATTTATTTTTTTGAGATGGAGTCTCACTCTGTCGCCAGGCTGGAGTGCAGTGGCACAATCTTGGCTCACTGCAACCTCCGCCTCCCGGGTTGAAGTGATTCTCCTGCCTCAGGCTCCTGAGTAGCTGGGATTACAAGCATATGCTACCACACCCAGCTAATTTTTGTATTTTTAGTAGAGACGAGGTTTCAACACGTTGGCCAGGATGGTCTCGATCTCCTGACCTCATGATCCGCGTGGGCTTCCCCCGAACCTCCTGTGGCTTTTTATGTCCTTGAAAAAGAACTAAGAGAACTGAAATGTGCCACCATGCCCAGCTAATTATTATTATTATTATTACTTTGAGATGGAGTCTTGCTCTGTCGCCCAGGCTAGAGTGCAGTGGTGCGATCTCGGCTCACTGCAAGCTCCGCCTCCCGGGTTCACGCCATTCTCCTGCCTCAGCCTCCCGAGTAGCTGGCGTGAGTCACTGTGCCTGGCAGTATTTTATTTTTTGTAGAGACAGGGTTTCACCATGTTGCCCAGGTTATTTCATATTGTTTTAATCCAGGCTGGTTATGAACTCCTGGGCTCAAGCAATACACACACCTTGGCCTCCCAAAGTGCTGGGATTATAGGCTGAGTCACTACACCCAGCATCTATATCATGACTTCTTTCATGGCGAGTAAGGTGACTGGAACGAGTGTAGGCTTTACTGCATCTCTTACATTCATAGGGTTTTTCTCCAGTATGAATTCTTTCGTGGAGGTGAAGGGAACTGAGGCGACTGAAGGCTTGGTCACATTGTTTACATTCATAGGCTTACTCTCCAGTATGACTACTTCTATGGTTACAAAGGGAACTCAAACGACTAAAGGCTTTGCCACATTGTTTACATTCATAGGGTCTCTCTCCAGTATGAATGCTTCCATGGTCATGAAGGGAAGTGGAACAGCTGAAGGCTCTATCACATTTGGTACATTTATAGGGTCTTTCTCCAGTGTGAGTCCTTTCATGCGTCTTAAAAGAACAAGAAAATCTGAATGTTTTCCCACATTCCTTACATTCGTAGGGTTTCTCTCCAGTGTGAGTTCATTCATGTATTAGACAAGAACCGGAAACAGTGAACGCTTTACCACATTGTTTACATTGATAGGGTTTTTCTCCTGTGTGAATTCTCTGATGTCTTTCAACTGAATTGAGAAAATAAAAAGCTTTACCACATATCGTTCATTTATAAGCCGGATTTCCACTGTGCATTATCCTGTGTCTTCTAACACCTGGAACAGAAACGAAGAATTTCCCACACTGTTCACATTTATATTGCTTCTCTCCATATGGTTTGTATCCTGAGTGAGCTAGGATGTGCCTATTAAGGAGGGAATGACGTACAAAGACTTTTCCACAAATACTGCATTCACATTGTTTTCATCCAGTAGAAATGTTCTCATTCAGATCAAGATTTGGAATTTGGCTGACAACTTGTCCATCATACTGACTACCTTCTTTGCTTTCACACAGTCTCTGTACCATATGATTTCTGTAAAAAAAAGACAAGCACATTATTATTGCTTGGTTTTATAACTTTCTACTTATTAATAGGTCTTGGACTTACACTGCTACCAATACCAGGGAAAACGCATTTTTTTTTTTGCCATGACTGAATTATTTGAAAGTAAATGGGTTACTACTGAAAATACAGCTACCACCTGCACGGCTGTGACCAAAATAGTCAGATTCATATACCCAATTTTGTAGTACTATTTTCAAGTAAACTGTTTTTCAAACACTGACTGCTACACTCAAGTACGTTACATTTTGGGTGAAATTTTTCTAAAAAGAAATAAATTTCAAGTGACTCTTATTTGTTTTGATTGCTTGTTTTTAAGCTCATGACATGCTAAGATTCCTTCAGATGACTTTATTTCCTCTTCTCAGTACAAATTATCTTATATCTTTCCCAGGTTTTTCGAAGTGATCTTCAATATTCTGGTCTTTCCATTTGTTTCCTAAAATGCAGACCCACAAAATTATCATGAATTATTACAAACTATAGAAACATTACTACATTTAATGTTCATTGTACACAGTGCCCATGCCTGATTTCTTCACCAAATCATTCCCTTGCCACATTCCAAATCACAAATAGCACTGAAGATAGGGAAATACTTCTGTAATTAAGTGAAATGTGTTGTCGTTCTCACCTACAAAAGCTAGGTTCCTGCAGGTTTCCTGCATCACTTTTCTGGAGAGATTCTTCTCAGAAGAATCTAGCAAAGCCCATTCCTCCTGGGTAAAGTTCACAGCCACATCCTCAAAAGCCACGGAGTCCTAGAACATTCCACACATGTGGATAGAAGGATGGGTGAGACTGACAGCACTGGGAATCTATACTCAATTCATAAGCTATTTACATGATTCTAAAATTTCCAAGCATTTATTTTATGACTTGTCACAACTCTTACTCTGTTCACACATACTCCCCCCGACACAGCAGTACGAATGCTAGAATTGAACTATTCAAAAAGGCAACAGCAAAGTAGAAACACCCATCTCTTTAGAGAAGCCAAGAAGTAAGATGTGCTGCTAGGAGTTACCTTTTAACTTCACTTTGTACATTTCTAGTATCTGCCATAATAAAGTCCTACCTGATGTGCATAAGTGAGTTAATATTATCAGTCCTGAGACTACTTATTCTTAAAAACGGCTGCTCGCAAAGTTCAGTCTTTGTATTAGTAACTTACATTTTGAAAGGGATTCCACCAACCCAAGTAATAAGAATGACTCACTGCATCTAAATGGCTTATGCAATATATTTGCCACAACTTTTTCTGCTGAAGTTCTATTATTTTGTGTCACTGCAGCGGTGCTTAGGGAACCAGACACCAAAACACAGTCTGAACACTAAGTGTTCAATGAGTTTCCCTGGTAGACAATGTTTTACATGTGCTGTCACTTGTTAACTGGGGAGTTGAGCCCATTCCATGTGATTACACCAAGACAGAATAGGCTTATTAAATTTAATTGAGAAGTAAATAAAACCAATAATTGATATTTAACAATACTAAGACAACAATTTTTAAAATTTGTATTGCACAATGTCAAGGCAGAAAGGAATAAGAGGAAACATGACACATGTTTTTTAAAATGACATTAATGTCACCACTTCCAGATGCTAATCCTATGAAATCACATAAATTCCCAAATCAGGGAATTTAAAACATTAGGCAAGAAAAACTACTTTTTCATATGTAGTAAAAATGACAAATGTCTAATGGTTTTTAGTCCTCTAAAAAAAGAGTGATGGCTTGTCTAACATACTTCTAAGATTTTCAAATGAAAATATTCAGGACAGGACAGTATTAGCAGAGAGATGAGCAAGCAGACCAAGGGAAAAAAGTCTTAATGACCCAGCATTTATATGGAAAGTTGAGGAATGATAGAGTAGGCACTGTAGAATAGAAAAAGAAATCATATGCACTTTAAAATGTGAGGTAAACCAGGCTGGCACCTACTTGGGAAAATGCATTGCATTCTTCTCTATTCCATGAACAATAATCAACTTATTACATATCAAATATGAAAGATAAAACCAGAACACTTTCAGAAGTCACAGGAAGATTTTTTTTTTTTACGAAGGATTAGGCAGAATTTTTTTTATGTAAGAAAAAAGTGATAAAGAAACAGACAAACTCAAACATATTAAAATTTAGGGAATAAAAAGAAAATAGAGTGGGCCGGGCGTGGTGGCACACGCCTGTAATCCCAGCACCTTGGGAGGCTGAGGCAGGCGATCACCTGAGGTCAGGAGGTTGAGACCAACCTGGCCAACATGGCAAAACCCCGTCTTTTTGTTGTTTGTTTGTTTGTTTGTTTTTTGAGACGGAGTCTTGCATTGTCGCTTGGGCTGGGGTGCAGTGGCAAGATCTTGGCTCACTGCAACCTCCACCTCCTGGGTTCAAGCAATTCTCTTGCCTCAGCCTCCCGAGTAGCTGGGATTACAGGTGCCTGCCACCACGCTCAGTTAATTTTTTTTGGATTTTTAGTAGAGACAGGGTTTCATCATGTTGGCCAGGCTGGTCTGGAACTCCTGACCTCGTGATCTGCCCACCTTGGCCTCCCAAAGTGCTGGGATTACAGGAATGAGCCACCGTGCCAGGCCTAATACCCTGTGTTTACTAAAAATACAAAAATTAGCTGGGTGTGGTGGTGGGTGCCTATAATCCCAGTTACTCGGGAGGCTGACACAGGAGAATCACTTGAACCCGGGAGGTGGAGGTTGCAGTAAGCAGAGATGGCTCCACTGCACTCCAGCCGGGCTACAGAGCAAGACAGCGTCTCCAAAAAAACAAAAAACAACAACAAAAGAAAACCTCAGATATTTAGATACCAGGATACAGATGTGTCCACTGTCATAAATTCTTCACCATGCTGCAAGAGGGGAACTGACATTCTGGTGAACCTTTGTAAATCATCAATTTATCTATCACACTTTTATTTCACCAGTAGTATTTACAAAGCTAATTCCTACAATTCCATTTGAAATTACCCTTAAAAAGAACAGAACTTTAAAACTTACTACACTCACTCTGGGGAAGAAAGAAATATGGATTTTTAGCAAATAAAATACATCATTTTACCTTGCCTCTTTGGAAATAGTATTTTTATCTTTCAAGCTGTACTGACAAAATGTATCTTATTGTCAATGAAAACCTGAAACTCAAATAAGCAGACAAGCGTTTTCAAGGTAACAAACTCAGGGAGAGGCAGTGCTGACTCCAACACAGACCTTTCTAAGTGTCACGGCAGGCCATTCTATCACTCGGGACACCCATCCTGTTCAGTAAAGTACTCAGTGACCACCTAGGAGGCACTGGCACTGCTCTTTGTCCTCCTGTGCGCCTTAAGTGCATTTTAATATTCAAGTTCTTGCACGTCCTCTCTGGGGTGGGTTTTCCTTGCCCTTTGGGACAGTTTTTCTCTCTTCACAAGTCTCAGACAATCTAGAGAGCAGAAATCATTTCTGCCTTTTCCTCTCAATATCAGCATCCGATTGGCAGACCATCGATGTGTCTCCGAGGAATAAAAACTCGGGCTGGAGGAACAATTTTAGTGACCTAACTTTAATGACATTACGTTGTATTGTCCATTAATTTTAATGTCCTAAAATTTCAATAACCCTAAGGCGTCACCATTTTAGATGAAACTATACCAGGAGATTCCTCTAAGGCCAAGAGCACCCAGCTGCTCCCCTGAGAGACTCTACCCCCTACCTCAGGCTGTCCTTGGCGATGAGATGACCCCGGGGCTGATACTCACTGGACCCTCCAATAGACATGGCCACTGTGGGTATCCTGGGTCATCCCCAGAGAGTTTTAAAATGCCAGGACTAGGAAAAGACAGGAGGGTGGCTGAGGACACAACACCCTGTAAAGTTTTCACGGGGAGACCTCAACCTAAACACATTTTGGTCATATGTACACTTAGGAAGGATGAAAAGAAGAGAGGCACAAAGATTTTTTTTTTACAGTAGAGTGTCAGATGATTTATTCTCCACTTTCCTCTCATGTAAAATGCTTGGAAAGAGCCACCTTTGGCCAAGGTGGCTCACGCCTGTAATCCCAGCGCTTTAGGAGGCCGAGGCGGGCGATCAATTAAGGTCAGGAGTTCGAAACCAACCTAGCCAACATGCCGAAACCCTGTCTCTACTAAAAATACAAAAATTAGCTGGACGTGGTGGTGGGTGCCTATAAGCCCAGCTACTTGGGAGGCTGAGGCAGGAAAATCGCTTGAACCCGGGAGTCAGAGGTTGCAGTGAGCTGAGACTGCACCATTGCACTCCAGCCTGGCGACAGGGTGAGACTCTGTCTCAAAACAAAACAAAACAAACAAACAAAATATATATATGTGTGTGTGTATATATATGTATGTATGGTTTGCTTCCTCATTAACCTTATCAAAGCCTCTCATTTACGCCCCTCCTGTGGACCCCAAACCACAAACCACGACTGCGGTACCCGGTTTGTGAATCACCGTTTGCTCAAACACACCGTTTAACGTTTAAACAAAGTCTCAGGTTAATTTTAGGGGGAGAAAGGTGGGACTGGAAGCCCATGAACCACAGTTCCTTCCACGCTGGAACCCCCCTCACAGTGTCGGGGCTCTCCCGGATCACCCTCCAGTGGTCACCGCACTACCTGGGTGGGGGAGGCGCGGGGTTCCCGAAAGGGCTCCGGCCGGCGGAAGTGGCGCCCGCAGGCACAGACAGGACCCAGGGGTCCCGCTGCCCGCCCCGCCCGGCCCTGCACAGAAGGGGACTGAGGCCCGGCTGCGCCGCGGCGACTCGGTCCGCAGGTTCCGCAGCCGATGGCTGGCTCCAGCAGGTTTCAACCAGCGCTCTTCCCCACTTCAGGAAGCCAGGCGCAGTCCACTCACCATTCCTCGGCTCCCCGGATGTCCCGGAGTCAGCGAGGAATGTCCCAATACCCGCAGGTCACAGGGTGGCCGAGGCTGCTGCAGAGCCACCTGGGCCTCCCAGAGCCAAGAAGTAGCAGCGGAGACTCACAGAAAGAGCCTACTGCGGCCAAGGCCAGACAGAGAGTCCGCCAGCCGGATCCCGGAAGCCGCCCTCTCCTTTCCGGCGGCGCGCCTGATTGAACGCTCCCCGCCCCAACGCCCCCGATTGCAGGGGGCTTCAGGCCCCGCCCCCTCAGGCCCTGAGTGACAGGAGATTGCAAGCTCACGCGAGGCTGGCTGAGGCCAGAAAGACCGTTTTGGCCTAGCGGTTTGTAGGGGGTGCGTCCTTCCTGCCCTGGGATCTCACCATGCAAGGACATTCCCAATTAAACTTGTGTAGAAGAAGATTATAGCTATTTGTGCATAAAATATATATAAAATTGCAAGCAATATAATGACAATTCTGTAACTGCCCAGTGGGTTCACCTTGCCCGCTACCTAGACAGAGCCGGTTTCTCAAGAGGGGGGAATAGCAAGAGAGAAGGAGTAATTCACGCAGAGTCGGCTGTGCGGGAGACTGGAGTTTTTAATTTAATTTTATTTTTCTGAAACAGAGTCTTGCTCTGTCGCCCAGGCTGGAGTGCAGCCTCGGAGTTTTATGATTATTCAAATCAGTCTCCCTGAGCATTCGGGGATAAGAGTATTTAGAAAGTTTATTTTGCCAAGGTTGGGGATGCTTGTGCATGACACAGCCTCAGGATGTCCTGATGACAGTGGCCCAAGGTGGTCAGAGCACAGCTTGGTTTTGTTGGAGATAAATGCTCGGTGCCGCAAAGTGAAACCAGCACTCAAGCGAAAGTTTTCTCAGCCACACAATTTACTTCTGCAGAAGCGTGCTGCTCGCATCAATCACAATCGCAAGAGCACACGGAACAAAGGAAAGCAGGGGTTTTTATTCCTAACGCAATCCCTACCTCTGGCATGGGCTGGGGCCAGACCTCAAGATCTAAACCGATCCGGTGGGCTATTTGTGAATATTTTCCCAAATAAGGAAGGGGGAAAGGGGATGTGAGTTGCAACGGTGGGACGTGTTGTTTCGAAGGGAGAAATGGGTGCAGAGCAGGTAACCAAGGGAACAGATGTGAGTTATTGATTAGAACTGATGGGAAGGTTGTTTACAGTAACTAAGGGCAAGGAGACATGGAGAACAAGAAAGTTGAGTTCCAGAACAAAAAACAAGAACGTTAACATGCCAAACCTTGGAAGCGAAACTGACTGTATCTGACAGTTTTATACATTTTAGGGAGATAGGAGACATCAATCAACATATGTAAGATGAACACTGGTTTGATCCGGTACAACCTGAAGCAAAAGTGTGTCAACTCGAAGCCAGGAGGGGGCTTCCAGGTCACAGGTAGGTGAGAGAAACTCTTCTGAGTTTCTGATGAGCCTTTCCAAAGGAGGCAATAAGATATGCATGCTTCTCAGTGAGCATGGGATGACTTTGAATAGAATGGGAGGCAGGTTTGCCCTAAGCAGTTCCCAGATTGACTTTTCCCTTTATCTTAGTGATTTGGGGGGCCCAAAATATTTTCCTTTCCAATTTCCCCCTTTTGTTTTAAAAATATTTTGGAGAAAGCATTTTAGAAGAAAATCAGTCTCTGGTGCCAGGTTTTGTCTGATTTCTCGTGGAGTAGCTGGGATTACAGGCGCGCGACACCACACCTGGCCTTTTTTTTTTTTTTTTGGTAGAAACGGGGGTCTCCCTCGGTTGCCCAAGCTGGTTTCTGGTGCCCAAGGCGGGGCTCCCCGTAATGTCTACAAATAATCCAGTGAAGGAACACCAGAGCGTGGAAAGCGGAGGACGACTGAAAAAGGACTTCCCAGTAGGTTTTCACTTCAAGCTCTAGGGTAAGTAGGGCGCTCGGAGAATTCCAGGGAAACCTCCGGAAAATGTGGGTCAGGCTGAGAGTAAGTTCGCGAATTACTTAAGCCTTGTACCGCAGTTACTGCGCCGGGGAGGGGTAATTGTGAGTACCCCGAATCTCACATCTTTGTTCCATCTGGTAGACAAGTATTCTCCTTGGTTCCCGGAATATGGAACCGTCAATGTAAAAGATTGGGACAAGGTCGGATCAGACTTAAAAGGAGCACAAGAGGGCGGCGATATTCCCGTCTCTGCTTGGTCTGTATGGTCGGCAGTTAAAACAGCACTGGAGCCCTTGCACACTGAGGAGGAGGAGGAGGAGTTCCAGGATGACATAGGAAGGTTGAATAATCAGGAGTCTAATTATCAGCTAAGTGAACCATGACAGTCTCATTTTAAAAAGGGCGAGAAACGGGAAGGTATGTATGCTCATCTCCAAAAACGTATAAAAGAAACAGTGCCACCTACTGCGCCTTTAGGGGAAGGTCTGGAATGGCCGCCCCCAGGCCAGCCTTAGGAATTTTTGGAAGGGGAGCCTGACAGGCGCCTTGGGGCTCCCATTGTTGCAGGCCCCGCCGGTAACTATGGTGAAGGGAAGCTTCAGGTTTGTCCAACAGCCAATCATGATGAGGGAATGATCCAGGCTTGCCCATCTGTTAATTATGGTAGAGGAATGCTGCGAGCCGGTCCAAATACAAATGATGACACAGGGACAATCCAGGCATCCATTCGCCAGGCACAAGAAATGGGGGATTTGAATGCTTGGCAGTTTCTGGCAATTCTTTTGCCAGCTGAGGAGCCCAGAGAACTTGCTCAAGCATGCCGGGAGCCATTTCCTTTTAAAATATTAAAAGACTTAAAGCAAGCAATTGGACAGATGGGCCAAATTCTCCTTATGTTCATTCCTTGTTACAATGTGTGGCTTATAACAGACGTTGAATACCTACAGATTGGAAGGCACTAGCCCAATACACCCTGTCCCCCTCTGAATTTCTCCAATTTAAAACCTGGTGGATGGATGAAGCAACAAATCAGGCACGCAGAAACGCTTGAGCCCAACATCCCGTTAATACCACATCTGATCAATCGCTTGGAATCGGACAGGCATGGGGTACTCTAAATCAACAGATGGTAATGGGTGATGAGGCTGTTGATCAGCTCAGAACTACATGCCTAAGAGCCTGGGAAAAGAATTCACAACCCTGCTACTGCTTATCCTTCTTTTAACACAGTTCAACAGGGTCCAAGGGAGCCTTATCCAGATTCTATTGCCCGTTTGCAGGATGCGGCTCAAAAGGCTATTTCCGATTCTCATGACAAGAAAGTGATCGTTCAGCTGCTTGCTCATGAAAATGCTAATACAGAAGGTCAGGCAGCAATTAGACCTATTAAGGGAAAGGCAGATCTAAATGAGGGAAAAACTTTAAGTGAATACATTAAAGCCTGCGATGGCATTGGGGGGGCACCTCACCCATCGCGGGGGGTGCCTCAGCCCACTGCCATGTGGATGGTAACAGTGAGGAGGAGAGAGGGGGTTGCTATTACTCCCCATTACGATGTGGATCGTAAAAATGACTCCCCCCTGCAATGTGTGTCCATTATTAGCAGTCTTTTTAGTTCAGGATATTAGGAACATTTTCACAGGTTGTGTGTACACAGCCTGCGATAGGAGAACGAACACCATCCTCTGCACCTCCGGATATTAGGAACCATATCACACAATGGGTGTACACTTTTTGGGAGATTTGGGGTAATGTCGTCCTGTGTTTCCCTGAACAATCAGAGACACATCGCCGGGCGGCTGTACACCTGCTACTCTCGGCAGGAACATCATACTACTGGAAATTAGGAACAATATCACAGACTGGGTGTCAAGCCACTGTCATATTGGAAGTAATATCATGCTCTCCCCCACAAGTTATAAGGAACAATATCACAGGGGGGTGTGTACCTTCTCCGGTTGTGGGAGTAGTATCATCATCTCTTCCTTTAGATGACAGGAACAATATCACAGGGTGGGTGTATACCTCGTGTGTTTTTGGAAGGAATGTCATTCTCTCTTCTTCTAGGTTTTACAATTCATATCATAGGCGGGGTGCACACCCCTTGTTATATTGGATGGAATCTCAATCCTCTTTCAACTTGTATCTCATCCTCTTTCAACTTGTATCTTTAGAACAATATCCCATGGGGGCTGTACATCTCTTCAATATTGGTAGTAATGCCATCTTCTCCTTTCCTGGACATCAGAAACAAGATCACAGGAGGGGTGTACACGCCTTGCAATATTGGTAGTAATATCACCTCTCCCCTGTGGTTATTAAGGACAAAATCCCAGGGTGGCTGTATGGTTCCTACTTTATTGGGAGTAATATCATCCACTCACACCCTGGATATCAGGAACGATATCACAGAAGAGGTGTCCACCCCCTTCGATATTGTCGGCCATGTCATCTTCTTCCCCCCTGGATATTAGGAATGATACCCTGGGGTTGGGGGCGGTGTACACCCACTGCGATATCGAAAGTAAAATCAGCCTCTTTCCCACTGGATATTAGGAACAATATATGGGGAGCAGGGTGGTTACACCCCCTGCGATATCGAGAGCAATATTCTTCTCTCTCCCCTGTACATTAGGAACTACATCACAGGGGTCTGTACACCTTCCGCGATAACCGGATTAATGTTGTCCTCTCCCCCACTGAATGTCAAAAACAATATCACAGAAGGGTGTACACCCCCTGCGATATGGCCAGTAATATCATCATCTCTACCTTTGGATACTAGGAACAACATCACAGAGGGTGTGTACACTCCCCTGCTATATTGGACATGATGTTTTCCTCTCTTCCTCTGGATATTAGGAACAATATCCCTGGTGGTGGGAGGTGGAGTACCTTAAGAACAATATCACTGGGTGGGTGTACACCCCCTGCGATACTGGGTGTGGTATCATCCTCTCTTCCCTAGGATATTAAGAACAGTATCACAGGAGGGGTGCACAGCCACAGCCTGCAGGACCCTGAGGAGCCCTCCTTCTGCTTGGAAGCTGAGGACGACTGGGAGGACCCAGAGGCCCTGAGCTCACTGCTGCTGTTCCTGAACGCCCCCGGGTACAAGGCCAGCTTCCGTGGCCTGTACGACGTGGCGCTGCCATGGCTGAGCAGCGTCTTCTGCAGCTTTAGCGACAAGGAGGAGCTGACTGGGCGCCTGGCACAGGCCCGAGGGGCGGCCAAGAACGCTGGCCTCCTCATGGCCCTGGCCAGGCTCTGCTTCCTCCTGGGGCAGCTGTGCAGCAGGAGGCTCAAGCTGTCCCAGGCCCGGGTGTACTTTGAGGAAGCACTGGGGGCCCTGGAGGGCAGCTTCAGGGACCTGTTCCTGGTGGTGGCTGTGTACGCCAACCTGGCCAGCATTTACCGGAAGCAGAAGAACCGGGAGAAGTGTACACAGGTGGTTCCCAAAGCCGTGGCCCTGCTCCTGGGGACGCCTGGCCACATCTGCAGCACCGAGGCGGAGGGGGAGCTCCTGCAGCTGGCGCCGCGGTGGGCGGTGGGTGGCCAGAGCCTGCAGGCCGAGGCCCGGGCCTGCTTCCTGCTGGCCAGGCACCACGTGCACCTCAAGCAGCCCGAGGAGGCCCTGCCCTTCCTAGAGCGGCTGCTGCTTTTGCACAGGGACTCGGGAGCCCTAGAGGCTGCGTGGCTCTCAGACTGCTCCCTACTCCTGGCTGACATCTACAGCCGCAAGTGCCTGCCCCACCTGGTGCTGAGCTGTGTCAAGGTGGCCTCATTGAGGACACAGGACTCGCTGGCCGGCTCGCTGGGGAGCGTGAACCTGGTGCTCCAGAATGCCCTCCAGCCCCAGAGCCTCCCCACCCAGACTTCCCACTACCTCAGGCGAGCGCTGGCCTCCCTAACCCCGGGCACAGGCCGGGCGCTGCGCGGCCTTCTCCACGCCAGCCTGGCCCAGCTGTATAGCCACCATGGCTACCACGGCCCGGCCATCACCTTCATGATGCAGGCGGTGGAAGCCAGTGCTGTTGCCGGAGTCCGTGCCATCGTGGACCACCTGGTGGCCCTGGCCTGGCTGCATGTGCTTCATGGGCAGAGCCCGGTGGCCCTGGACATCCTGCAGTCTGTCCAGGATGCAGTGGTGGCCAGTGAGGACCAGGAGGGTGTGATTGCCAACATGGTGGCCGTGGCTCTGAAGAGGATGGGCCGGACTAGGCAGGCAGCCGAGGGCTACTACCGCGCCCTACAGGTGACTCGGGACCTGGGCCAGCGGAGGAACCAGGCAGTGGCGCTGGCCAACTTCGGGGCCCTGTGCCTGCACGCGGGTGCCAGCAGGCTGGCCCAGCACTACCTCCTGGAGGCCGTGTGGCTGTTCTCGAGGCTGCCCTGTGGGGAGTGTGGCCGGGACTTCACCCACGTGCTCCTGCAGCTGGGCCACCTCTGCACCCGCCAGGGCCCGGCCCAGCAGGGCAAGGGCTACTATGAGTGGGCCCTTCTGGTCGCTGAGGAGATGGGCCACGTGGAGAGTGAGTGCCCCGGTTCCTCCTGTGTGCCTTCCGGGGCCACTCGGGTCAGGGCACACCTGGGGTTTGTGATTCAGAAACAAGTGGTGGTTCTTCCACCATCGAAAGTGCTGAGTCGTGGCCAACAGCAGATGTTGGCAAGAGCCCTAGAGACAGGCGGTTCCCATGCAGGGCCAGGCCCTCTGTGCCCTACTGGGGCAGCCAGCTCTTCCCGGTTTGCCCAGGGACCATCCTGCCTTGAGCACTGAAAGTCCTGCATGCTGGGAATCCCTAGACATAACCCTGGGATCAAGGCAGGCTCTGCTGAGCTGGGACTTGGGGCCCCTGCATGAGCCAGGCCCTGAACGCCGGTTCTTGTGCCTGTGTTATCTGCTTGGTATCTCGGCAGCCTGTGCACCTGTCATCCCACTTCACAGAGGACACAGGGGCGGGTGATTGCCCAAAGCCACAGAGCAGTTCATGCAAAAGCAGCTCGTTGTGCAGAGTGTGCCAGGCCCCACCCACAAATGGGGCTTGTGGGGTCCTCGAGTGGCAGGGGCTGAGCATGGGAATGTGAGCTTCAGGCCAGAGAAGCCACAAAAGGGTGAGTGGCATGATGGCGGGGCAGCACTTGGCCCCGGGTTAGGGAAGCCTCTTTAGTCTGGGACCACAGGGTTGAGAGGATTTAGTCAAGTAATAGGTGGTGGGAGAGGGGCTGGTGGTGTAGCCTGTGTGAAGGCCCAGGGGTGAGCGAGTGGGGGTGAGTGAGCGGGGATGAGTGGGGTGTGAGTGGCGGTGAGTGAGTGGGGGTGTGATGGGGGTGAGTGAGTGGGAGTGTGAGCAGGGATGAGTGGGGGTGAGTGAGCGGGAGTGTGAGCAGGGATGAGTGAGTGGGGGTGAGTGAGCAGGGGTGTGATGGGGTGAGTGGGAGTGTGAGCGGGGATGAGTGGAGTGTGAGTGGCGGTGAGTGAGTGGGGGTGTGATGGGGTGAGCGGGAGTGTGAGCAGGGATGAGTGGGGTGTGAGTGGTGGTGAGTGGGGGTGAGTGAGCGGAGGTGTGATGGGGGTGAGTGAGTGGGAGTGTGAGCAGGGATGAGTGGGGTGTGAGTGCGGGTGAGTGCGCGGAGGTGTGATGGGGGTGAGTGAGCAGGAGTGTGAGCGGGGATGAGTGGGGTGAGTGGTGGTGAGTGAGTGGGGGTGAGTGAGCGGGAGTGTGAGCGGGGATGAGTGTGGTGTGAGTGGGGGTGAGTGAGCAGGGCTTATGCAGGGAGGTGCAGAGTTGGGACTGGGTGGGTTGGGTGCTGGATGGTGAGAAGCTCTTCTGGAGAGCTAAGCAGGGCCTGGGGCCTCAGGCTGTGCTTGGTCTTTTCCCCAAGAGCACTGGGGAGCCATGGAGTGCTATAGAACAGTCACTGCAGACTGAGCAGTGAACGGACAGTAGGTGGGCAGGGCTGTCCGAAATCTAGGCCGCAGAGGATAGATGAGGAAGTTGAGTCCAGGGAAATGGCTGAGACAAGCGATACTGTTGTGGGTCCCCTCTGTCTTGCAGCGCTTTGTCATGGCATAGTGAGACCACTCAGAGGTGCCTCCTGTGGCCTGGCCCAGAGCCCCAGGGGCTGTGGCCAAATCTGCCCATTTCCCAGCATAGGCCTGGCACCCACTCCTGGCCCTAGGAGGGATGAGATTTTGGAAAGGACCGTGTGAAGGGGCCCCGGTCCCACACATCTGCCCAAGGAGGGGTAGGGGGTTCAGACCCAGGCTTCTTCCCCAGGGGCATTCTCTGACTGGAAGGAGACCCTCCAGGAACCCAGCGCCCCAGCCCCCACTGCAGCCTCCGGTGGCTCCTGGCACAATAGTCTGTGGCACCTCCTCCTACGAGGCCCTCTGTGGGGTGCTGGGAGATTCAGACTTGGAAATGCGGGCCAGGGAACGGGGATCATGCTTCCCTGTCTCCCCACCCTGCGCTGAACAGTCGAGGAGACTGAGGGCGGGGCTGATACCCCACATGCTTACTTGGGGTCATTTTTGAGTCACTTTCGGTAGTTTGTGTCTTTCTAGGAGTGTGGCTGTTGTGTCTAGATGGTCTGATTTGTTGGTTTACAATTGTTCGTGGTGTTTTCATGGAATCCTTTTATTTCTGTCAGGTCGGCAATAAGGTTTCCTCTTTCATTTCTGATTTTAGAAACTTGAGTTTTTAATTATTTATTTATTTATTTTTATTAGAGATGGGGTCTCATCATCTTCCCCCAGGCTGGTCTTGAATGCTGGCCTCAGCGATCCTTCCAGCTCGGCCTCACAAAGCGCTGGGATGACAGGCGTGAGCCATGGTGCTCAGTCTCTGATTTTAGTCATTTGTGTCCCGTCTTTCTTTTCTTGGTCAGTCTGGTGAAAGATTTGTTAATTTTGTTATTATTTTCAAAAATCCCACTTTTGGTTCTGCTGATTATCTCTTTTGTTTTTCCATTCTCTGTATTTTTACTTCCCATTTCCACTCTCATGTTTATTATTTTCTTCCTTTTGTTCGCTTTGGGTTTCGTTCATTCTTTTTCTAGTTTCTCAAGGTGGAAGGTTAGGTTTTTGATTTGAGATTTTTCTTCTTTCTTTGAATGTAGACATTTACAGTTATAAATTTCCCTTTCAGCACTGCCTTAGCTGCATCTTGGAATTTTTGATATGCTGTGCCTTTTTTTTTTTTTTTTTAAGACAGAGTTTTGCTCTATTGCCCAGGTTGGAGTGCAGTGGTGCAATTTCGGCTCACTGCAACTTCTACGAGGTTCAAGCTATTCTCATGCCTCAGCCTCCTGAGTAGCTGGGATTACAGACGAGCATCACCACGCCTGGCCCTAATTTTTGTATTTTTTATAGAGACAGGGTTTCACCATGTTTCCCAGGCTGGTCTCAAACTCCTGGACTCAAGCGATTCTCCCGCCTTGGCCTCCCACAGTGCTGGGATGACAGGCATGAGCCACCACGCTGGCCAGGGCTATGTATTTGTTTGCATTCTTCTCAAATTAGTTTTCAGTTTCCCTGATGGTCTCTTCTTTGACTCACTGGTTGTTTAGGAATGTGTAATTTCCACATATTTTTGAATTTCCCACATTTGCTTCACTGTTGATTTCGTTTCGTGCCAGTATAGCTGAAGAACACCTCTGCTTTGGTCTCAGTCCTTCTCCCTTCACTGAGGCTCGTTTTGTGGCCTGGCACGTGGTCTGTTGTGGGGAACGTCTGTGGGCGCTCGAGAGGACTGTGTATTCAGCTGTTGTTGGGTGACGTGTGTGACAGAGGTCCATTCGGCGTACCTGGTTTCCGGTGTTAATCTCCAGAATGTTTCTGACACTAGAAAATCAGAAGCTTTCCACCATTCCCAGCGCCCTGGCTTTGGGAGAGGCCAGTGAGCCTGTGGCTTGGGAGCCTGGTTGCGTGAGAGAAGCATGTGTGGGAATGCCAGGGGCCGGCTTTGAACCCCATTCCCCCAACATGATGCCATGTGTGGCAGACGCCTGGCTTTGCTCTCTCAGGGTTCCATCTGCGGCAGGGGCTACTTGTGCCCCTGGCCTCATCAGCTCAGGCTGAAGGCGGCCCTGGTCCTGGCCAGAGGGGCTTTGTGGAACAGAAATAGACGACCTGGTGCAGGGGCTGAGCCTGGCCAGGACCTCAGCCCTGGGGGTTGTAAAGAAGGCCGGGCTCTACCATGAGCATCTGCACCAAGCTGTGCCCATGTCACGGTGTGCTCGGCGGCTGCCCTTGCACGGGTGCGTGGCCTGTCTGCGCTCAGGCTCCCCGCCTATGGGGCCCAGGCTCACAGAGGTGTGAAAGAGGCAAGCACAGCGCAGGCGCCTCTGAGCCCAGCCAGCCTCGCTTCGATGCTGGGAGGCTGACGTCTTCCTTCTTGTCTTCTGCCCAGGCCAGCTGCGGGCCATCCAGCAGCTGTGCTACTTCTACAGCACCGTCATGCCCAGCGAGGCCCAGTGTGTCATCTACCACGAGCTCCAGCTCTCCCTGGCCCGCAAGGTGGCCGACAAGGTGCTGGAGGGGCAGCGCCTGGAGACCATCAGTCAGCTCTACCTGTCCCTGGGCACCAAGCGGTGAGGGCTGGCTTTGTAGTGGTGGGGGCGGGGAGGGGGGCAAAGAGGGTGGGGGAGCAGGGCAGGGAGGGGGGCACAGGGAAGCTGGCCCAGGGCCCCAGCAGCCCCTCTCCTTGGGATCATTTGGTTCCTTGGCATCAGATGCTTTGAGTTGGTGGGCCTGGGGTCGTCCCAGGGCTGCTGATGGCCTGTGAGTCCCAGCTTGAGTCTCCCTTGGGTGACACGTCTTCCTATCCCTGCCTGCACACCTCCCCAAAGGTCATCTCAACCCCAGCAGAGGCAGTACGTGCATTCTGGACCGTTCTTCCTACTATGATGGCTTTTGTCATCTGACCTCTGCCTGCCCCGAGTCTTCACTCCTGGCCTTCATCTGTCCCCTTAAATGTGACCACAGCAGCCACCTGTGGCTTCTCTCCCACAGAAGACAGAGCCAGTTGTGTCACCTGCTTCCCTGGGGCAGGTTTTCAAGGTCTCACATCCCATATGTGGCCCACTCGGCTTCCCCAGAGCATCCTGACTTGTTAGGGTAATCATGGCCCTGGCCACCCCACCCATAGGGCCCGGTGACATTGCTGCAGTCACACCTCCTGGAGTGTCGGACTTACTGAGAGAGCAGGGAAGGAGCCAGATTCCATGGGGACCCGGGAGACTGGCTCCAGTCTTGGCCTCAGGTTCACAGAAGGAAAATGGGTCAGTGTGCTAGAACCATGCTTCTCAAAGTGTGGTCCCTGGACCAGCAGAGCAGCATCCATGTCACCTAGGAGCTTGTGCCGAGTGGGAGTTCTAGGGCCTGCCCCAGGCCTGTGGAGCCGGAAGCTCTGGGGGCAGGGCCAGCAAGCTATATGGACAGGCCTCCGGGTGACTGTGATGCCTGCACACCTTGAGAACCATCAGCCCAGATAGCCTCTGAACACTAACGGCTCCTGGTGCATCTGGAGAACACACAGGCCATGTCTGGGAGGCAGGGGAGATGGACTAGCACACTCCTCCTGACGCATAACGTCTCCTGGTGCATCTGGAGAACACACAGGCCATGTCTGGGAGGCAGGGGAGATGGACTAGCACACTCCTCCTGCCACAGGGCAGCATGATGCTCGATTCCCTCAGAAGGATGTCCTTCATCTTTTCCACGCCGTGTGTGTTCACCCTGGCCCTCCCAGCAGCCTGGGAAGGGCAGAACACTGCACACACAAGAGAGCCGTTCCCAGTCCCCACATTCCAGATTAATCTGTCACCAGACCCACGGGAGGAGGCAGACTGGTTCCAGGAGGATGAGAGCCCTTGTTCTGACACCTGTGTCTGATTCCAGGGCCTACAAATCCGCTCTGGACTACACCAAACGAAGTCTGGGGATTTTCATGGACCTCCAGAAGAAAGAGAAGGAGGTCATGCCTGGCTGCAAGCAGGGAAGATCTATTACATCCTGCGGCAGAGCGAGCTGGTGGACCTGTACATCCAGGTGAGTGGCAAGGGATGCAGGAGGGACCCTGTGCTGTTCACTCTCTGTCCATCCATCCATCCATCCATCCATCCATCCATCCATCCATCCTTCCATCATCTATTTACCTGTTCATCGTTCCATCCATCCATCCATCCATCATCCGTCCATCCATCATCCATCCGTCCATCCATCCACCCATCATCCATCCATCCATCATCCGTCCATCCATCATCCATCCGTCCATCCATCCACCCGTCATCCTTCCATCCATCATCCATCCATCTGTCCATTCATCCATCATTCATCCATCCTTTTATCTTCCATCTATTCACCCGTCTATCCATCCACCTGTCCATCCACCCATCCATTCATCCTTCCATCATCTGTTTACCTGTTCATCCTTCCATCCATCCATCCATCCATCATCCATCCATCCATCCATTCTTCCATCATCTACTCATCAACCTGTGGGTCCTTCCATCCATCCATCCATCCATCCATTCATCCATCCATCCTTCCATCATCCATCCATTCACCTGTTCATCTTTCCATCCATCCATCCATCCATCATCCATTCCTACGTCCATCCATCTATCTCTGTAAATACCTGACAGAAATAACTTAAGCAGACCCTGGGAATGACCTTTATGGCAGATGCACCTGAATATGTGTTCTAGGCTAGGGAATCCAGGAGTGGCCAACTGGAGATTCTTTCCTTGTCATCTGAGCCCGTCCTGTCCTATGGAACACAAGCTGTAGAGAGGATCGAACCCTTGAGTTTTGGGTTGCATGAAGGTTGCTAGGCGTAGAGTGGAGGTTGTTAGGGAGAGGGTGTTAAAAGATGCTATATAAGCTCTATGCCTTTCAAAAGCAGTTGCAGTTATCCAGGCCAGGCCTCCATCACTGGACTCTGTCTTGTATGTAACACCCCATGTCTCATTTTCTCTGTCTCTGGGTCTCTTCTTTTGCCTCTTGAACCTGGTGGCATCCCCACTGGAATCAATAGGGGTTTGGCGCAACAGGTGTCTCCCTGATTTCTTTGTATTCTCCTAGTCAGCATTTTCCCTTGGTCAGGACCTCCCTCTTGTTTCTCTTTCCCTTTCTCAGCACTGATTAGGTCATTATTATAAAGATCTTGCAGGTAGGGTTTTAATTAAAAACAACAGGGTTTTCTAAGTGGGTTCCATGATGGGCCATGTGATCAGAAAGCCTTTATCATAGTTTTATGGATGATAACATCAGGCACAGCCATCATTCAAATATACAGGGGTTGTTTTGAAAGAGAAAAAAATGAGTCTGTTTTATTTGATCATCTGCAAACCAGTAACAGACCAAGTTCCAGGCACTGAACAATCAGCAAGTGACAAGATTGACAAGGCTGCATGGTTCACCTGGGAAGGGCAGTCAGCCAGGACCCATCTCCATTTTCCTCTAGGTTTGCCAGTCTAGTAGTGGCCCTCAACCTGAATGGCAGCAATTTAATAAAAGAAATTGTCCTCCCACAGAACTGGAACCCAAATGTTGCCACACAGCCAGAAATTTCAGGAGTGCTTGGAACACTTACATAGTCAAAGGTCCTGCCCACCAGGCCTCTCAGTCGAGGCCAGTTCCCTCCTACCCCTCCCCTCTGCTTTCTGGTTTTAGGAACTGTCCTTTTCCCCGCTCCTGATATTTTGCTTGAGACCAGCACCTCTCTTCTCTGTTCTTCTCCCCAACATCCTGTTTCAGAAAACAACACGCTGCCTATGTCCTTAGAGGCTCACTCGCAGCCCTTTTCTGCCAGTGCAGCAGACAGCTGTTGCACTCACATTGGCTTCGCTTCTGTGAGAATCCCCTCCATCTCGCTGCGTAAACAGAATGCATCCGGAGAAAACCCCAGGCAAAGTGGCACAGGTGCTGAGAGTCAGAAGTAGGGCAGGCAGGCACTGAAGTGGTGAGTTCCACAGGGATGACGGCAGGCACACCATATGTGACAGATGCACAGTGTCCTCAAAGCTGCATCACGAGCTGTCCTGGGCTTCACACTCACTCAGGCTTGATGGAAATCCTATTTTTCTTTCAATCTTATGAAATAGTTCAGAGGAATTCTAATAGATCTCTTTCTGAAAAACTGTACATGCATTTTATGATGATAATGATTATTACTGTCATTATTATTATGATCGATAGAGACAGGGTCTTATCATATTGCCCAGGCTGGTGTCCAACTGTTGGGCTCAAGCGATCCCCCCGCCTCAGCCTCCTGAAGTGTTGGTATTACAGGTGTGAGCCACTGTGAACGGCCCAATATTACTGTTGTCATTACTGTTATTATTTTGCTTAGGCTGTGTATTAGAGTTCTCTAGAGGGACAGAACTAACAGTGTATACACACACACACACACACACACACACACACACACACATATACACACACACATATATATGTATATGTACACACACACACATACACAAATAAAGGAGAGTTTATTAAGTATTAACTCACACGATCACAAGGTCACACAATAGGCCATCTGCAGGCTGAGGAGCAAAGGGAGCCAGTTCAAGTCCCAAAACTAAAAAACTTGGAGTCTGACGTTTGAGGGCAGGAAGCATCCTGCACAGGGGAAAGATGTTGGATGGGAGGCTAGTCCAGTCTAGCCTTTTCACGTTTTTCTGCCTGCTTTATATTCTAGCCGAGCTGGCAGCTGATTAGATGGGGCTCACCCAGATTAAGGGTGCGTCTGCCTTTCCCAGCCCACTGACTGAAATCTTAATCTACTTAGGCCACACCCTCAAAGACACACCCAGGATCAATGCTTTGCGTCCTTCAATCCAATCAAGTTGACAGTACTCACCATCAGAGGCTGGTTAAAGTTGGTGACCTTTGCGGGTAGAACCTCTCACAGTACAGCTAGTTTGACTAATGAATGGGTGAGGAAAACTTGGCTCACTTGAAGATGGTTCAAGTGATTTCTACCACACAGTATGTCCCCTAAGTGAAAGACACTAACATCGGGAACACTTCCCACGAAATATGCTTTTCCATTTAGATCCCACAGGGCAAGCCCATTCCAACTCTCTTCATCATAGGGTATGAGAAGTAAGAAACAAAACGTAGGTATGAACATATGTTGAACATGATCAAACTTAAAAGGCAAACACATTGGGAAAAAAGTAGACTTGCCACATATCTGAGGTTCAAAGACAGCCTTGATCTATCAAAATATGCAAAAATGAAAATTCCAAAAGGAAAAAGATATATGCATACTCGATTAACATACAAAAATCTGTTAGCAAAGAAAAGCAAATTAAAATGGCAGGTCCCTATGGCCAACAACTATCACTTGGGAAAAATGTATCAAAATGATAAAGCCCACTGCTGGTGCAAACATTGAAGATGGCCTCTCCTGCCCTCTGCTGGTGGGAATTTAAACTACAATAGTATGGTAAGTCCTTTCTGGAGCTTGTTTGAAAATATCAATCAAAAGTCTTTAAAATGGCCGGGCGCGGTGGCTCAGGCCTGTAATCCCAGCACTTTGGGAAGCCAAGGTGGATGGATCACAGGTCAGGAGATCGAGACCATCCTGGCTAACATGGTGAAACGCCGTCTCTACTAAAAATACAAAAAATTACCCAGGCGTGGTGGCCGGTGCCTGTAGTCCAGAGTACTTGGGAGGCTGAGCCGGGAGAATGGCGTGAACCCGGGAGGCGGAGCTTGTAGTGAACGCAGATGGTGCCACTGCACTCCAGCCTGGGCGACAGAGCAAGGCTCTGTCTCAAAAAAAAAAAAAAAACCCACAAAAATTAGCTGGGCATGGTGACATGCACCTGTAGTCTCAGCTACTCCGGAGGCTGAGGCAGGAGAATTGCTTGAACCTGGGGGGCAGAGGTTGCAATGAGCCGAGATCGTGTCACTGCACTCCAGCCTGGCAACAGAGGAAGACTCTGTCAAAAAAAAAAAAAAAAAAAAAAGTCTTTAAAATGTTTGCATCTTTTGATCTAGTGATTCCAGTGCTATAGCTTTTACCAGGGGAATAATCACAGCTCTGTAGAAAGAGACCCACATTTTTATTGTTTTTATACAATGAATGGAAGACCTTTCTAAAACTAGCTTTCTTCTTGGAATGAAGAACAGTATCCCAAATGATAGATATTAACATTAACATTTACTGAGCACTTCCCACATGCCAGGTGCTTTCTAAGAGCTTTACCTGTATTCTCATTTCTGGAGGTGCTCATAGAATACCTGGGGACCAAGGGGGCAGCTACATGGCACAATGAGAGAACAGGGTGGTACTGGTCTGGCCTCAGAGTTGCAAGTAACAGAAAACAACTGAAATTAAAGTTAATTTGAAAAAAAAAAAAGGAAAATTTAACCATCTGTAAAGTCTCAGCAATGGATAATAACAGTTAAGATTTATTGAGAGTTTTCTATGGGCTGCTCTAAGGACTCTGCATGTATTAATACTTTTAATCTTTACCCAATCCTATGAGGTGGATATTATTCTTAACCCCATTTTGCAAGTGAGGAAACTAAGGCAAAGAGTGGATAAGACGCTTGCTCAAGGTTGGAAGAGTCAGTAATGACAGGACCGGCAATGACAGCCAGGCAGGCAGCTAGCTCCAGAGCTCAGTTCCTTAACAGGGTTAACTAAGGCTTAGCTAGATCCGGGAGGCGGTGCAATGCTACCAAGACCTCTTAGCTTGCCTCTCAGCACTTTCTTCCCACGTGGGCTCCCCTGTTTCCAGAACAGCAGCCCCCAAGCCCAAACTGACCTCACAGCGCACCATATCAAAGCAACCATGAACATCTTCCCAGCCTAAGACCTGGACTATAAGAGGTCTGTTTTGGGTCTTGTACCCTCCCCTAGGACAGGGTCAGTCTCTGGAAACTGAGCAGGACCACTATAGAAAGCAGTAGTGGCTTCTCAGAGGAAGGGTTGTAGGCAGACACGTGTATGTCCATATTGAAGACAAGTTAGCTGTGCTCAAGGACCTGCTATGTGCTCGGTGTTTGCAGGGCACTGGGGCATACTA